AATTGCATTGGGAAAGTCAGCTGTGAGAGACCTCTCAAGAGTACTGAAGTGCAACGACGTCAGGCTGGAGACTAAGGTGTGCCTGATCCAGGCTACAGTTTTTGCAATTACGTGCTATGCATCAGAGAGTTGGGCTGTGAATAGGGATGATAGAAAGAGAATTGATGCCTTTGAGTTGTGGGACTGGAGAAGAGTGTTGAATATACAATATGCCATGGACTGCTAGGAGAACAGGTTTGTCCTGGAGAGTGTGAAGCCAGAATGTTCCCTGGAGTTCTGAAGTTTCATCTGACATACTTTGGGCATGTTGCAAGGAGGGACTTGGAGAGGGACATCATGTTTGGGAGAGTAGAAGGACGGCGCAGGAGAGGAAGACCCTCAATGAGATGGATTGATTCTGTGAGTGGAGTGGTGGCAATGAATGTGTTTGAGACAGCGAGGTTGGCACAGGACAGAACGGTGTTTAGAGCTCTTGTACATAGGGTCGCTATGAGTCGCAAATGACTCGATGACACATAACAACAACAACAATAGGAATTTTATTCTTAGAAGATCCCATTAATCTCTTTTATCCTCTCCTGGTTGTAGGGTTTTCAGAATGCTTGGAAGACTTGTGGATTAGTGCTTTAGGTTTTTTCCATACTTTTCTTTAATGAAGTTTATAGTTCTTGGTTTTCATCCTAGGTCCTTGATCCACTTTGAGTTGGTTTTTGTGTATGGTGTGAGGTATGGGTCTTGTTTCAATTTTCTGCAGATGGTTTTACAATTTTGCCAACACCGTTTATTAAAAAGGTTGTGATTTTACTTCATCTCCTTGTTAAAAATCAGTTGACAATAGGTAGATGGGCTGATTTCTATATTCTCAATTCTTTTCTTTTATCTATGTGTCTGTCATTATACCAGTACCACTCTGTCTTGACCACTGTAGCAGTGTAGTAGGATTTAAAATCAGGGAGTGAGATGCCTCTTACTTTGTTTCTCTTATTAAGGAGTGGTTTGCTTATTTGAGGTCTTTTTCCATTCCAAATGAAATTGGAGATTGCCTTTTCCATCTCATTGAAGAATGGTATTGGTATTTGTACTGGGATTGCATAGAACGTGTAGATTGCCTTTGGTAGCATTGTCATTTTCACAATATTGAGTCTTCCTATCCATGAGCAACTGATATTCTTCCATTTTCCCCAGGTCTATTTTTGTTTCTATTTTTGTTTTGTAGTAATGTTTTATAATTTTCTTTGAATAAGTCTTTTGTGTTTCTAGTTAGATTTAATCCCAAGTATTTAATCTTGTGATTAGCTATTGTGATGGATATGTTTTCTTAGCTCCAGTTCTATATTCTCTTTATCACTGTACAGAAATCCCACAGATTTTTGTATGTTGATCTTGTATCCTTCCACTTTGCTGAATTGGTCAACTATGTCCAGTAGTTTACTCACTGGATCTTTATGGTTTTCTAAGTATACTATCATATCATCTGCATACAGAGATAATTTTACCTCTTCTTTGCCAATTTGGATACCTCTTATTTCCTTCTCTTGTCTTATTGCTACCAGTAAGACTTCTTCTAATATGATACCGAGTAGGAGAGGTGATAGTGGACATCCTTACCTAGTTCCTGTTCTCAAGGGGAATTCCTTTAACTTCTCTCCACTGAGAACAACATTGGCCCTCAGGTTTGCATGTATACTTTTTACCATGTTGAGGAAATTCCCTTCTATTCCTATTTCGTTGAGTGTTTTAATAAGGAAACGGTGTTTGACTTTGTCAAAGGCCTTTTCTGGATCAATTGACAGTGTCATAAATCCATGACAATGTGCTCCTCATATTTATAAATTTTTAATTTTATAGAGGCATAGATATACAGAGAAATACAGGGAGTTTCGGTGGCCTAGTGGCAAGAAACTGCTACAGTTCTGAAGGCACATGGTTTGAGTCCACCAGCCGCTTTGTGAGAGAATAGTGGGCAATCTCCTTTTTTGAGCTTAACTGACTCTGAAAACCTGCTGGAGAGTCATCTATGGTTCAGCTCTAATTTGATGGTACATGACAACAACAGAGCTATAATTATTTTTCAGTTTGAAATGTTATTTATATTCATGGAACAATACACTTTTGATTTGGCGATAATGTCCTGGAGTTTCATCTAGGTTATTTATTGCACCTATGAAAAGTTTGCCCCTTTTTATTGATGAGTGATATCCCGCAGTATAAACACTCCACACAGTCTAACTCTTCACCTGGTGCAGGACTCATTATTGTCAGCTTGGGGCTAATACAAAGAAAGCTTCTGTGAGAATTATATATAGATTTTATAAGGTTGTTAGTTTTTCCTTTTCTATGGGGTCGCTATGAGTCGCAAACGACTCGATGGCACATAACAACAACATGATAAATACCCAGAAGTGAGATTGCTAAGTCATATTGTGAAGGCTGTATTTAGTTTAATATTTCTTTTAAATGGAAAAACTATTTTTCAGAGTAACTATATAATTATTTAATAACATTCCCTGTCGTATGTCATATTCTGTGCTCTGAAATCTCCTTTAACTGTTATAATGCAGCCACTTTCTTCTCCTCCCTATGCATGCTTTAAAGCTTGTCTTCTCCGATCAGTTATGAGTCATAAGCCTCCTTCCCTCGGCAAGAAACAACAGGTGATTCGACAACTCACTGCACTGTTCACTGACTGTTGTCACAGGATGACCACACCTACAAGATTGTCCTTGGCTGAAATCTGGGGGTTCAAATGTCCAACTGAAATAAATGAAAAGAAAATTTTCTCTAACTGATAATAGTTACTCAATGTGCCTACTGTTTGAACAATATTTATGCTAAGCATATGCTTTCTTCCTGAGGACCAGGCGAGAGTGCTGACATTCTTAAGCATGAATAAAATTCTTGGGTGCTAAGTCTCTGGTAGTTTTCACTAATTGCTAACACTTCAAAATGTGTGACTTCATCAGGAGAAGGCTTTTGGAATCTTGCCTCCAGCTTCTTCTAGATTTCACTCTATGCACTTTGTTCCTTCACTGGTTTTTGTTTGTGTCCTTTTCCTATGGCAGAAATGTGGTTAAAGTAAATAAATTGTGGAGTCCTTCTCTAATTCTATCAGTCCCCTAAAGACCACTGCATATGTATGTGTTCATATGTGTGTGAAGAGAGTACACAAGCATGAAAAATGTGTGTGTGGGTGTATGTGTGTAAGAGAGAGAAAAAAAGAATTGTGAGGAGATATGTAGTGAGACTTCAATGAAGAATATAAGGTCTTTTTAGTATGTTATAATAAACAGGGAGTTTGAATCCACCAATTGTTCTGCAGTAGAAAGATTTACTCCCGTGCTATTTACTGCCTCTGAAAACCCTTTGGGGGCACTTATGAACTGGATCTGACTTGGTAGCTTATAGCAACAAAAATAACAATTGAAAGGACACAACAAGTTTGTCTGAGACTGTAATTTGTGGTCTTTGCGCTAACTCGCTTAGCCTTCCTGACAAGAATTGTTCCAGAGTTGATAATAGTTCATCCAGGGCACAGTGTATATCAAAAAATCACAAATGAGACTCTGTTGAAGGAAAAAGAAAATAGTTAATTTTGAGAACACATTCTTTTGAAGGGAAGCAAAAATGTTTCTTGCAACATTCTGACATTCTGACACCTGCATATCCTCCCCAGGAAAATGTGAAGTCATGCATGATAAGTTGTGCATATAATATGATGGAATAAGAACTATCACTTGGGGAGACCCCACTCCACCACCTAAAGTTATGAAGCAGGTATGTATGAAGTCTAAAGTCTCACTGGACCCAGAGAATACTTGGGAAGAGGTAGTAATACCACTCTCCAATTCTCTTGCACTCGTATCCCAGGCATGAATTGAACATTTGTCCACCAGCCCAAGTTAAAGAAGCATGAAGAGGGACAAGGTAGAGTAAGAAGAGGCTGATCAAAGCTGAAAGAGGCAGAGTAAATGGAACATTTCTCAGAGACCTGATCCAGAAACCCAAAGAAGAGGAAATACTGCATCCACCATAAAGGCCATGGAGAGTGGTCTGGAAGGGGAAGGAGAGTAATGCTGGTCAAGTAGTTGTGTTCAGGTTACTAAGGACTGTATCAGCACAGTATAAGCAGATAACACAATTATAGGGTCCTGCCTACTTTCCCACTGAGGCCCCAAGTAGTGACAAGTAGGCCCTAGGTAATGCCTGACTCATCCCCAACCCATACTGTTAAGGAGCCATCAATGTCCAACAGAGAGCTCTGTGGTCTAATGAATTGTATTGTTAACCCAAAGGCAGGTGGTTCAAATTCACCAGCTGATCCAAAGATAAACTTTTGCTTTCTATTTGATAATGAAGTTCTTCTCAGATAATTCCAACTACATACCTTTTTGAGCTTCTTTTTGCTTTGAAGTGGACAGGAATGATTTTTCATGTTTTGTCTTTTGCATGTGGTCCGACTAATCTTCACAGTTATCATATACTCCACTCCAGTTGTCAGCTACCAAGGAGTAACTGCACAATTAGTTTGACATTAAGCATCAGATTGCTGAGCCTCCACCAGGAGCTAGGATCAATGCAAGTCATAATTCCTTCCCATAGCTCTCCTACTAGGGATACGGCTCTCCCCTCCTCTCAGGCTAAAGAATGCACAAAGATGTTCAATACACTGGCCCTCCTCACCCATGTATTATGATTAGGTTTGCTAGCACAGCTACAGATAATTTCTCACCCTGATTCCTAAACATCCTAAGGACAAGAAAGACAATCTGCTAGTCTTGATTATCTGGCAGCCACAGACCACTTCCAGTTCTGCATGCATGGTCTTCAAAATGCCGTCACACAGTGGCATACTATGCAACACTAAGGAACAATGATTTTGTAAAATACTACACAAATTGGGAGAGGCTGGAGAGCATTATGCTGAGATAAAACTAATCTTATTGTCAGACATTGTAAATAGTACTGCTTTTCTTATTTTCTTTTCAGTGAGCTCTTGGAAAAATGTGCCCTGTTTTTGGATAGGAAGACTCAATATCATAAAAATGACAATCCTACCAAAAGCAATCCAAATCCAGATACCAATTCATTTTTCAAGGAGATCAAAAGGGAAATTGTCAAATTTATTTGGAAAGAGACCCCAAATAAGCAAAGCAGTTCAGAAAAGCAAAAATGAAGTGGTAAGCATAGCATTCTCTATAGCACAGCGATAATAACCAAAACAGCATGATACTTGTACAATGACAGGTACATAGACCAATGGAACAGAATTAAGAACCCAGAAATGGATCCATCTATCTATGGTCAACTGATATTCGACAAGGAAATAAAACCTATCAAATGGGGACGTGGCAACCTCTTCAGCAAAAGGTGCTGGCAAAACTGGACTGCTGAAATCTCATACCATACACAAAAAGTCAACTCAAGGTGGATCAGAAACCTGGCAGTGAAGCCCAAAACCATTAAGTTAATTAGAAGCAAACTTAGAATGCTTAGCCTATGGTAAAAAGAGACTGCCAAATACAGCCAGAAATGCACAATCTGGAAATGATAAAATTGATAAATGGGACTTTCTAAAGGTTACATCTTTGTGCGGATCAAAAGCTTTTTCTAGCAGGGTGAAAAGAAAGCCTACTGACTGGGAACAAACATTTGGACTTTTCACAGAGGAAGACATTCAAAGTGGCCAACAGACACATGAAGAAATGCTCTAAATCACTGGCAATAAGAGAGATGCAAATCAAAACCACAAAGATATATCATCTCACCTCAGTAGCAGTGGCAAAGTTTAGTAGGCAGCAGGCAGTAAATGTTGGAGAAAATGTGGAGAGGTAGGAACTCTCATACACTGTTGGTGGGATAGTAGAATAGGGCAACCAGTCTAGAAGACAGTTTGGCATTTTCTTAAAAAGTTGAACACAGAACCTCCATATGATGCAGCTATTCCACTACCAGGAATATACCCCCAAAAAATTAGAACTGAAACAGAGATTTGTACACCAATGTTCACAGCAGTGTTATTCACCATCGCAGAATGTAGAAACAGCCAAATGTCCAACACAACTGAATGGATTGAGAAATTGTGGTATATTCAGAAGCAATGATTTTGAAAACTACTACACAACTTGGGAGAGGCTGGAGAGCATTATGCTGGTGAACTAATGCAGTCTCATAAGGACAAATATTGCATAAGACCATTACTGTCAAAATAGAAGGATAACTATTAAAATGTGTATGAGAACTTAAGTGAGGGGTTGGGGAGTGTATGGTTGAGGATAGGTATAGGTAGGGGTGAAAACATAGGGTTGCACAGTATGGTGGATTAAGGAGGCAAGGAAAGATCCAGGTGAAAAACAGTGTATGGGCAAGGTCCAATGATGATTCATTTTAAAAAACACATAATACATGGGAATGATTGTATGAAACACAATGTGAATGAAGTATAATAACACATTGCATACTAACTCTGTAAGAAAACCAATTTAAAAAATCAAACCCAAACAATAAATTTTTAAAATTCTATTAACATTTATTTTATGATTTTTGCAGGTCTCTCATTTAGTGTATAGATATTAAGGTTATGTCCTCTTGTTCTGTTCTGCCTTTGAGCTTTATACAGTGTCCTTCATTGTCTCTGATGCTTTCACCCCAAAATCTGTTTTATTGGTGATTAATATTACCACTCTCCTGTTCTCTTATGGATGCCATTTGCTTGGTATACTTTTTCCCCCACCTTTTGATTTTCAGTCTATCTTTCTTCTTGTTTCTTAGATATGTCTCTTGTAGGCAACATTAATGGCCTTTCCCCTCCCAATCTTATATTCTTTTTCTATTTGTGTTATTGCCATTTTGCTGAATTCTTTTTGTTGTGGTTGCTGATTACTTTTGTCCATCAACTTTTCTTTGCTGTCTCTTGTATGAAGTCTTCTTTTAATATTTTTATAGCATTAGTCTTGATTTAATTAATTCCTTAAGTTCCTGATTTTCTGCAAACGGCCTAATTTATCCTTCATATTTGATGAACATTTTCACTGGGTATATGAGCAAGAGCCTATAGGATGAAAGAAAAAGTTCAGGCTGCTTTGAAGGAAATGGCAAAAAATAAGTCTCCAGGAATAGATGGTATACCAATTGACATATTTCAGCTAACAGATGTTGCCCTGGACGTGCTCACCAAGTTGTGCCAAGAAATCTGGAGAACAACCACTTGGCCAACTGACTGGAAGAGATCTATATTTGTCCCTATCTCAAAGAAAGGAGACCCAACAAAGTGTGGAAAGTATAAAACAGTGTCATTGATTTCACATATAAGCAAGATTCTACTGAAGATTATACAAAAACGACTGGAACAGCACATCAGCAGAGAACTGCCAGAAGTCCAGGCTGGGTTTAGAAGGGATCGTGGTACTAGGGATCTTGTAGTTAATGTTAGATGGATCTTGGCTGAAAGCAGGGAGTACCAGAGGAATGTCTATCTGTGCTTCATTGATTATGCAAAGGCGTTTGACTCTGTGGATCATAACAAACTGTGGCTGACTCTGAGAAGAATGGATAACCCAGAACAGTTGATCATGCTAATGCAAAACTTACAGTTGAACCAAGAGGCAGTCATCAGAACAGAGCAAGGAAACACTGCATCATTCAAAATTGGAAAGGGCGTTTGCCAGGGATGTGTCCTGTTTCCATACCCTTTCAACTTCTATGCAGAACAGATCATCCGGGAGGCTGGGCTCTATGAGGAGAAATGCAGTATCAGGAATGGTGGAACATCTATCAACAATTTGCGTTAGGCAGATGACATGACCCTGCTTGCTGAAACTAAGGAGGACCTGAAGCGCTTGCTGCTGAGGGTCAGGGACTGCAGCCTTCAGTATGGATTGAGGCTCAATGTCAAGAAGACAAAGATTCTCACCACTGGACCAATTGGCAACATCAGGATGGATGGTGAAGAGATTGAGATTGTTCACAGCTTTATTCTGCTTGACTTCACAATCAACACTCTTGGCACCAGCAGTCAGGAAAGTAAAAGACGTATCGCGATGGGAAAGTCTGCTGTTAGGGACCTCTCTAAAGTGTTGAAGAGCAACGGTGTGTCTCTGGAGACTAAGGTGCGGCTGGTACAGGCCATGGTCTTTACAATCCTTTGTTATGTGTCAGAGAGCTGGACAATGACCAGGGAGGATAGAAGAATTGATGATTTTGAGCTTTGGTGTTGGAGAAGAGTGCTGAGGGTACCATGGACTGCTAAGAAAACAAACAGATTCATCCTGGAGAGGGTTAAACCGGGCTGTTCCTTAGAGGCAAGGATTCTGAAACTTCGTCTGACATTCTTTGGTCATGTTGTAAGGAGGTACCGGTCCTTGGAGAGGGACATTATGCTTGGGAGGGTGGAGGGCAGGCACAGGAGAGGAAGGCCCTCTGGAAGGTGGATTGATTCGGTGACTGGGGCAATCGGGATGGGTGTGTCGGAGACAATGAGATTGGCACGGGACAGAGCAGAGTTTAGAGCTGTTGTACATAGGGTCACTATGAGTCGCAAGCGACTCGATGGCACATAACAACAACCACCACCTTTCATTTGGGCTTCTCAACACTCTAGTGCAATTTTTAGAGTCTCTTATGACATCTATTTTGGTGGGGTTTTTTTCCCTTTCTCCTCTGTCTTTGTAATGACCTTTGCTTTCTTCCTTTATATCACCTCATAACTCATTTGGTCTTTGATCACTGGTTTTCAATGTTTCAAACCTATCCTAAAGATGATTTTGAAATCCATATCAAATAGATTCAAGATCATATCTTGGTTTTCATGAAAGTGTTTCAATTTTCTTTGGCCTCCAAAGAATTCTGGACTTGAACCTTTGAACTTGCACATAATTAATTGAAGGCCTGACCCACAGCCCACAACTGGCCTAGTTTAGACTGCCAATTTTAAGCTTTTCCATCTATTCTTTCCACAAATGTAGTCAGTCTGATTCCTATGCAGCCCATCATGTGTGGTCCATGTCGAAAGTCACCATTTGTGTCTTTTAAGATTTAGTACGACAGTGGCACCATATAGCATTTGTCCCTTTGTGACTGAGATACCTCACTCAGCATAATGTCCTCCAGGGTCACCCATTTTGAATAATATTG